GATATGTTACTTACAAAATTACATTTCATAAAGAAGCGCCAGTGTATTACAATTTAAAATATTTAAAACAAAATGAATAATATGTCACACGATTTTGCTCAGAAACCGTGATGGTATCTTATTTTTTAAAAATTAAAAATAAATAAAAATAAAAAGGCGCAACTAAATGTTAAAGAAATAAAATATTTGACACGTCAGTATATTACAATTAAAAATATTTAAAACAAGTCATAACGGTTCTGTTATTCAACCGTGGTGGTATCTAATGTTAAAGAAATGTTAAAAAATACAAAGACACGACTAAATGTGAAAGAAATAAAATATTTGAGGGTGCTGATATTCGAACCCATGAAAGGGTGATTATATAACCATGGTCTTATGGTTCATCCGTGATTATATCAGATCAAAGAAAATTATCGTGCGTTAAGTAAGACATATCATCACGGCGAAAGCCTAATCGTAGTAGAATTAGCGTTACCGAATATGCATTTTATAGTAGTGTATATATCCCACAATGGATTAATTAAGCAATGCATCAGATCTTAACAACCTTTATTCTAGTTTCATCCCACACGATCCATATTCTACCATTACTATGACCTGTATAGTTATTAATATAAGGCCACCTATGGTTCAATTTATTTCTAACGGTTAATGCTTTGGCTTTCTTGACTCTAGTTTCAACCAATATAGCAATGTCAGGGTTTAGATTTTTAAGATGGGTTCCAATCTCCCTACACTTTCCTGAATTATTCAACCCTCTTATATTCCATTCTATAATCATGTCTCTTCAACTATGGTCACCGTAGGATTGTTCCAGATCCTAAGTGGAGCAAAACCATTTTGACAGGGCACTTCAACATCAGATTTCTTATTGGTATTTTCCTGCATCACCATCTTACCTTTGTTTTTCTTGGTTTTTGTCACTTGTGTCCACGAGGAAGTCCCTTGATCAGTTGGTGTGGCAGGAATCCCTTCCTCTGTGCGTTGGCTGCTAGCTTTTTTCATCACTTCCCATCATTACTTGACTATCTTTGGCTTCTGCTTGTTACATTGTTGGCCTATTTTTTGGCAGATGTCATAATACTTTGTCTTCCAATCGAATTCAACTGGTTGATTGATCTTCCTTTATTGTCCTTGATTATTATGCTATCCTTTTGTTTTCTAAGTTATTTCAATTTCCACAAGTATACATGCATATGAGACTCGTAATTTGTTCGATGTGCATTCATCTGTTAAGAGAAGTTTACCCAAAGCACTTCATATCTTCCTCAAGCTTTTTGCTCCCCAAAGATGAATGGGAAGCTGAGGGAGTTTAACCCACATGGGGAGAATGCAAATCATGTCCCTTTTGAATTAAAATCAGGACTCCAATTTTTGAGGACCATTGACATATTTTGAATAGAGTATGGTGTAACACCCTTCTAAACCCCGCAAATAATATATGCATAATCAGAGTAAAAGTTAACATGCATCCAAAAAAGGGCATCACACAAAACTTGCACCACATTAAAACAATCTGTCATGCTCATAAACACCTTTCCATTTAGCAGCGGATTCATTAATGAAAATCCTTTAAAAGAAACATTTACTTTCATCATATAAAATCAACATCTCTAGGCACTAAGGCCAACATCTCATTATCTCAATTACTCCAAATATGAAAACATAACTTAGGTTACATAATGTAATCCTAAAACATAAGCAATCGATCCCCGTGTTACACGACCAGAGCATGACTCGACCCATAAATAATTACTAAACCGCTACACACGTAGCAACCTCGAACTACAAGCAGAACTTCATAAAGGCCAGAATACTTCACAAAAGGGACTCCAGCAACCTAATCTGCAATGCCTCATAGAGCATTATAAAACAGCAAAAGGGTGAGAAATATTACCATAATAATCAAAGCATAAAATCATGTATACATAGGTATCATATAATTAACTCCCTATTTCTCACCACAATTCAACTCATAGTCACTTACATCGTCACTTATATATATATACAACATGAATATTCACCAAGCATTTTACATCATGCATACATCCACAATTCCACAATCTTAACATTCACACGTAAGCATCTCTTCATGCACGCTTCATAAGTATTCAACAAACATCTCATTCACATGCATACTTCATATATCAATGACATTATACAATGTGACTCAACAACTCAATGCAACTCAATGCAATGTGGTACCGACTTCCGTTATCTTTTTTCGGTTTTTACATTAAACCGGGTCCACACTTCTAGACCGATAACCCGTCATCTTTTTTCGGTTTTTACATTAAACCGGGTCCACACTTCTATACCGATAACCACAAAGTCCCGTCCTCTAAGCCTTCAAACCCACTCTTCTAGGTTTGGGATAAGCCACTAGTTTCCACGAAACTAACAGACATTGCCTCTTGACTAAATGATGCATGTACAATCAGCCACAACAAATGCACTTAAGACCGACATCTTAATCTCATGCATTCAAATAATTCATCTCTTCAAGAATTACATTATGATTGCACACACAACATATTCACATAACATTCATCGATGTATTCATAATTCAACACTATCACCACATTATCACTCACAATGCACACATATCCACAATATGTTCTCATGCATTCTTCACAGTTATCAAACAATGCACACATATCCACGATATGTTCTCATACATTATTCACATTTAATCACATACATACAATATGCATTTACAACATCTATCAAGCAATGCACACATATCCACGACATGTTCTCATGCATTCTATTCATACCACCATATACCAACAATATACATTCACAATTCAATATCATCACCGCATTATCAACAATGCACACATATCCACAATATGTTCTCATGCATTCTCAAGTAATTCATCATACAAGAATTACATCATGCTTACACGCATAACACATTTACCACGCAATGTACATATATTCACGATATATTCTCACGCATTTTTCATACATAATCGCATCCAATCAATACAAACATCATATTTATCAAACGATGCACGCATATCCATCAATGTGCTCTCATGCATTCTTTATGTATTTATAATCGATCTGATTAATACTCATACCACAAGTCTAGGATTCACGCCCAAAGGCTACCCACAACACATATCATCACCATGGATCACATACTTATTCATATCATAGAGGTATTAACCTATGTGAATCAATCAAATAATCACCACATGAGCAACACAGCAAAAGAAAAATGCTGTCACATTCGCCTTCATTCGCCTGGCGAACCCTCGCAGCGAACTTTCGCCTGGCGAACTCCCTCAGCGAACACTCGCTAGGCTTCGCCTGGCGAGACTTCCCAGCGAGCCCAAGTCAGTAGCTACTGACTTCATTCGCCACCATTCGCCAGCACCTTCGCTGGGCGAACCTTCGCTATCCAACTTCGCCTGGCGAACCCGCCAGCGAAGTCCACTGGAACTTAAACTTAATTATTCGCCAGCATTCGCTGGGCTTCGCCTGGCGAGAGCCAGCGAACCTGCGCAGAACAGAACCACACTCTGTCCCTCCTTCACCATTCCACCATCCACCAACTCTTGAACATCCAAATCAGTACAAATAGCATCAATACATGTTACCCGACTATTCTACGACGTTATTACTCAGTTCCAACCGATTAAATCATCAATCTACCGATTAATCCAACATTTGCCCTAATTGGAAAGTGATGAAAACTCTACCAAAACTCCAACCCAACATACATAACATCATGCAATGATCAAATAGAAACATTTCTCACCCTTACCTCGATTAATCGGAGCTTTGATGTTGGTTCTTGATGATTTCCACTTTTCCTCTTCTTCTCCTCTCTTTCTCTTCTTTCTTCTTTCTTTCCTCTTTCTCTCCAAATGTTTTCTCTAATTTCCTTTCTCTTCTTTCTCACTTATATATCCCTTTTATTTTCTTTCCTTCCAATTTCCTTTCAATTCTCTATTAATTCCAATTAATAAAAATTAATTCCAATTAATAAAAATTAATTCCAATATTAACATAAAATCCCACTAAATCAATTAATTACTACAATGAATTATTTAATGAAATTTGGGCTGTTACATATGGCCCTCTCATAAGCATCATTTCCTTGTTTTCACCGATACGAAACTTCATAAGGAAGTAGTCTTCTTCATGATAGAACATCTTTTGAAGTTGCACAAAGTTCTAATACCTAATCATGCATTGTTTCACTCTTCCTTATAATATACATTATAAGTGAATCCTCTCAAAAGATTATCATTGATTCAACATCAACATGTTGAGTTATTCTTAAAATGTTATTTTGTGTACTTTATCATTTTATTATAATGTTGTTGATATTAAAATTTTAAAAATTACTTGAATTTGAAACTATGTTTACTAATTTTGTAAATTATTGTTTTAAAAAATTTTCAATTTCATTTTAATCTTGAATAATATATATTTATATTATAGGATGTCAAAATTAATCTTTCAATCCATAAAAATAAACTATCTTTTTTTTAATATTTTAAAAAAGTTTTAATAAAACTTTTTTTGAAAACAATATTTATTTAAGCTAAGACAAATGGGCTCTAAATCTAAGGATCAGTCTTATATATAATTTAGAATAAAGGAGCAGTCTTATAATTAATAAATTAAAAAATTTAGGCTCTCAGCTCAATTATATGTAAATTCATATAGACAATATTACCGATGAGATTAAATGTCAAATAAGAAAACAACATTCTATAAGATAAAAACTGTTTTTTCAAGGAAACAAAATGAAAAAAAATTAAAAGGACATACTGGATTTACATTGTTACCAAAACACTGAAACTACATAATGAATATAATGACTTATAATCTGAATTATAACCTAAATTCGACACATTAAAAGATTTAACAAGCTCACAATCACTGGACTTAAACTTCCCAGAACAATGAAACTATATAATACACATAATGACTCTAATAATCTGAATTATAACATAAATTCAACACATCTAAAATGTCTAAAAATTTAACATGCTCTCATAAGTTTGTCCAAATTGCCAGTTGGAAGGAACAACTGAAATGAACTCGAGAGATTTTTTATCACTTGTAGTGACATAAAATGTCAAAGTCTGTCCAACTAAATTTAGGCCGGTATGCCAAACTTGTCCCCAATTATGTGTCATCCGAACCCAAACCGTATTAGACCCTTTGATATAAACACGTTGAACATCACCAGCATTCCCAACATTGTATATCAAAACCATCAAAAAGTAAGGATTTCCTCTCAGTTCAAATCTAACACCACCGCGTTTAACACACGGAACACGTCGATATTGAACTGGAATAATCCCTGCCTTGTAAATTGCAATAGTCGTGAACATTTTCATGCTCAAATCAAAATGTCTTTGCGGAGGATTACACCAATTTCCATCAGGTTTGGAGTAATTGGGGGGACAAAAATTTGTTGCAGTGACAGTAATTGAGTTGACATTTTTTATACACCATTGAGAATCGTTGACGCACTTGATCTCAAAACATGCACCACATGTATAACCTCCGTTGAATAGTGCTGTGCTTAGTGCTGTGGTTTCAAGGCCATACCCTTGTTGGAAGAGATTTCCATAACCACATGCTCCTTCTGCATTTATTCAATATATTATTATATGCCAATAACACATTAATATTACAATAATATACGACTTTGTCTTACGCATAGTTTCACCACCCTGCATGTCACCGTAGAAGGTTGCATGTGCATCGTACCATCTTGGATCAATGGGTATAAGAGCCATGACATTTACAAACAAAATTGTAAAAAGAGTAAAAATAACCAATGACTGAGACTTAGCCATGACTGAAAGGATGAAAATCGCAGGTAAGAAGATTCGATCAAGTGTGTGGATTTATAGGCCGTAACATATCATTAGTCATTGATAGAGAATAAAAATGGTTACAAAATAAAACATGATTTCAATGTATTAATTATTGATTTCTTATCAAAAAAATAACTTAGCACCGTGAAACATAAAAGGAATATGTCTTTAACGAAATTATTATACAATTAAAAAAGGAATATGTTTTTAATGAAATTATTATACGATTACTTTTCTTAACAGTCTTAATTTTTGTTGAATAGTTTTACAATCGATTAAAGATACACATTATTTTGTTTAATAACAGTAATAATATATGAAAGGTAATGCTATCTTTATATTCCAATAAATAAATCATTTTCTTTTAGAAACATTAATTTAGGTATTAATTTTCAATATAAAGTAATATAATTTGTGTTTACAGTATATATATGTTACCTTAATTTTAAATATTTTAGTTTTCTTAGATTTATATTTTTATTACATTAAAACACTAATACTAAAATCAGGCCCGGTCCTAGCGGAGGCAGACTAGGCATTTATTTGTTTATCGTCTCAAAATTTATTTTTCTTATATGCTCAATAACATTAGCCATAGAATTGTAATAAAAACAACCATTAGCCATAAAATATAGCATTTAATGATCATAATTACTATTTTTCTTTTCCATTTTACTAAAATGACAATCATAAAATCTAGAGTAACAGCTATATGCCTATTAATTTCTTAATCTGACGATTCTTCAAAATCAGCTTTTTTATTATTATTATTATTATTATTATTATTATTATTATTATTATTATTATTATTATTATTATTATTATTATTATTATTATTATTATTATTATTATTATTATTATTATTATTATTATTATTATTATTATCATTATCATCATCATCATCATCATCATCATCATCATCATCATCATCATCATCGTCGTCGTCGTCTCACAAATTTTAAGACCAAACGATAATCTATTTAACAATTTGTTAAAACTCATAATATTTGAGGTGATGTGTGGCTTGGGTCTCTGGTTGTAGAAAGGTTAAAAGGATGAAGATGGAGGAACGGAGAATAATGAACTCTAATATATTTTCAGTACAATTTCACTAAAGGTTACACATAGAAAATGGTTACACCACTATTTTATCATACAATGCGTACAATGCGTTTCTATTACGTTTCTTAATGGTTAAGCACACTATTACTTATATATACTAAAATATTGAATTATTTTTCAACATCGTCCCTTAATTTAGGATTTAACTAATCAAAACTAGCACACAAATTATATTCTTTAAATGGAGAAATTGATCCGTCTCACTAGTAAAAAAATACCTTTTTAGCAGAGGTTCTTAAGTCGGTTCTTTTGCCAATAACCTTTCCAAAAATATAATTTTACCACCAAGCTAGCTAACAATTATGATATATGTATCTAAAATATATTATATATAATTAAAGTAAATTTTAGTTAATGAATTTATTTTTTTGACAAATACCAAACCACTACTAAATTGATAATCAATCGCTTTCAACTCTCTCATAAACCCTTGAGAGGTTCTTTCTGCCTTTTCGTTTTCAAACTCTCACCACAACTATAATCATAAACCCTAAATTGATAATGAATCGAAAATGTACTGATATAGGTTTCTTCACTCTCTCATCACCACTATACATTTTCAGATTTAGGTTTCATCATTCTCTCAATCTTTCACCACAACTTTCATTTTCTCTCCCATCGCTGCTACAACGTTTCACTTTCTTCGCTGCTGCTACCACTGTCACCATACTCACTCTTTTTTCTCCAGGTTCTCTCTTCTCTCTGCGTTTTGAAATGTTAGGTTTTGAAATTTCAACCAATACATTGTAAAGAGTATTTCGTGTTTTCAAATTTGAAGCAGGTACTTGTGGAAAATTTGTTGGAGGTTTTGGTGATACTAGCAAAGACTTTGAACTCTGCAAATTAGGTATGTTTTCATGATTATGCATGTATGGTGCTTCAGTTTCTTTGAATGTTTGATGGAGTATTGATGAAATGTTGTTGTGAAATTGAAGATGGAATTTATTTGAATTTTAGATTTATTATTATATTTAAGAAGAGATTTAGTTGGGTAAAAAAGATTTTTGAGATGAACCTGCAGCTTTTGCTGTTGGATGTTTTTTCATTAGTTGTGTTTTTCTCTTTTGGTCAAATAGTGGTTGTATACTTGACTTTGTGGGTCTTGGATAATGGTTCTAGAAAAGGTAAAGTTAGTAAAAGCTTATTCATATTATTTAAACAAATTTACACCAGTAAATATGGGAAATATTGAGTGCAACTTACCACAATATTCAAAGCATAGGATTAGACAGAGTTGAAAATTTTGATGATGGTTGCAAACCACAATTTAAAACCATGAATAAGAAGAAACTTACATTCACTGCTGCATTATCACTAAGCTGGGTGTTATCCATAACTAATATGGTATTAACATTCAACTTCCTCAAGGAAACCAAAATTAAAGCTTTGTTTGTGTAACTTGTCAACAACATTCAAGCATCTTTTGCCTTATAAAGAGAAGTTTCTTCAATAGCTTTATTTTGAATCACTGTAACTACGTGGATTACATTCTGTGAGTGTTATTTTTTGTAATGTGCTTTGTATTTTTCCTTTGCATGTTATTGATCGTGCTTTTAATAGCTTCTGAATCTTTTTCTTTGCAATGTGCAGGAGACAAAAATATTGATATGGTATTTTCTCTTTTGGACAACATTATCCCAGCTGAGCTCGCGAGTACGCGACAGTTCTCATTGTTCAGCATCCACATCGCATTGATTCGGTGCATTCAACAAACGTGTTTCAGCAACATCGGTAATCCATCGGTTTCATCTCGATTCATTTTGAAGTTGATTTATGAACTGCTGGTAATGTTAAGTTGTATAAGATTTTCCGTTGATTTTCTAGACCGTATAGGGTGTAATTTTTGGTTGTTTCGTTCTGAAGTTTGGATTATATATGTGGATTTATGCTGAACTGCTATATGGTTTTTGAAAGACAGTTGCAGACTGTTATTTTTAAGTTGTTATTTAATTTGAATTCCTATTATGTTTGAATGATAAGTGGTGGTTTTGGATTCATATCCTGGTTGATTTGTAACACGTCACAGCAGATTACACATTTTGGAGTTGAGATTCAATGGTCACTGCAAAAAAAAGTTTGTGTTTTAATTTTATGGTTTGCAATAGTTAGTAATTATGTGGATGCTGGTCCAAGAGTAAGACCTGTTGCAGGTCCTGATATCTACAGAGGTAAAAATATGGCCAAAGATTCTCTTGCTCCTGGTGAGAAAGTTGTTAATGTGATGAGTTTTGGAGCAAACATGCTTGCAGTCTCCAACAGGTCTTAATGCTTGCAGTAAAATTACTTAAATGCTTCACAAACACAAAACCTGACATCAACACCGTATGCATATATGGCTTCCGATTTTTACATTATTATTTCTCACTTGAGTTTTGGTGCAACATATCCGAGTTGACAAACATATGACAAAAGCTTTGAAGGTACCATCAACTCTACAATAGAACCAGAAGCATGAACAAAAGCTTTGAAGGTAAAATTGACTTGTAAACAGAAACAAAAATTGTTCTGCGTGAAAATTTTAGAGTTGGCAAACATTCTTTTGTTTCCTCTCATTCTCATTTGTCACAGGAATTGAACACCCAAAATTCGGAAACCATAACGACCAACTGAGAATGAGGTTGGATATTTAGTCACAGTTTGACAGACTTTTTGAATGGTAGAACACCAAAACACAGGAAAAAGCGTTTGGGGGAAAACGACATATACATGTGTTGCAAAAAGAAAGTGTATCCCACTGAAAAGGTATAACTAATAGAAATTTGCAATTAGTTAATAATGTTTACAATTTCTAGTTCTGATTACTAATGCTTAACATGCTATTTATCAAAGCTTACCGTTAACGGGACTCCCTATCACAAGGGCTGCTTCAAATGTATCAATAGAGGTTGTACTATAAGCTCATCAAATTATGTTACACATGACACAAAGCTCTACTGTAAACATCATCACATTCAGCTTTTCAAAAAGAAAGAAAATTATAGTTAGCTTGAGACGGGTGACATTTCTGCTTAATGTCTGTGCAAAAAGATTGTTGATAGTTTTGAAAATATGGGTGCTATTGATAGTAGTGCATAGATACACAATAAGAGTGCATTAATAGTAGCACGCTATTGTCAATTTATTAATTTCTGCTTAATCTCTATCCTTTATGTAAATGTTTTTGATGAGATGAGGGAAGTCGCTCTAGTGCCTGATGGCATAACCTTTCTCGTATTTCTTTATACTTGTAGTCATTCAGGAATGACGAATCGTGGAATTGATTTGTTTTATAGAATGAGCAAGGATTTTGGGGTTGATCCTGGAGCAGAGCATTAAGCTTCATACATCATGCCAAAAAGCTGCTCAAATGGGTGCAACTGTGAGTAATAGTAATGCAGGCGGGTTGGGAAGATATCTCTCTATGCTGCAAGTTCAGCAATCAAAGAAGTTCAAAAACTTGTACTTGACCCAAAGTATGTAAATTTCAGATATGACTTGTTTATCTCTCTAACACAGAGACACACACATATTCTCTAACACACACACAATTGACTGATGTATGCCTTTATCCTTCTGTATCATTTCAATTTTTGTTCTCTGCATGTCTTACTTTGATCCAATATAGCATTGAACATATCAACTCCATTCATTGATCCATTAACACCTCATCCACTTATCATCACATTTTCATTGAAATTATTATTAATGTACTGAGGTTGTTGTTGCTGTTGCATGTAGTGGTTCATGAAAGACTGCCCTTGTTGTTGCACCACACCAAATAACGGTGGCGGTGCCATCATGTTTGTAGCGACAGTTGTTTTATCCGTCATAACCATGCATGCATTACTATTACTCACAGTTGCACCCATTTGAGCAGCTTTTTGTAACAATATTGTGGCGGACATGTGAGGCGAGGTTGCAGCTGCAGATAAATGGAGTGATCCGTTTTCTTCCAAGATGTTGTTGAGTGAGTTGTTTGAACTCAGTTGAAGAGAAGGAGATGAAGTTGACGATGAAAGACTTCTAGTGAATATATTGCTGTTGAAGGGTTTTACAGGAACTGACATGAGATCGTGAGGCGATGATAATGGATGTTTGTGATCTGAAAGGTTGAACAAGCTCCAATAATTTGTGAGCTGTTTTGGTTCATAGGTAATATTGAAGAAACGAGATTTGGAATTTGTTGGTGTTGCATGTTTGATAACTGTACTGAACCTTCGTTGGCTTTGTTGTTCTCTTCAGCTAATGCATCACAGAAAGCTCGATGAGTAATGAAGCTATCTCTTCTGCAGAAAAATAACCAATATAAATATATTAAGATCTAAAGCGGAGGAAAAATGCATGCATGTGTGGACTCGACCGAGATTTGGCTCATTAAATTTTTACACTTTTACAACACAAACGATTACACAAACAATAATCGTTGTTGGAAGGGAAAAATAATAATGTGATAATGGTTATAGGGGATGGTGCAGGTCTTAAGCCTTTTTACACTATTTACTCACATAGCATATTGTATCACATAGCATATTGTATAGCATTAAAATTTGTAAATAATGCTTATATATTTTACTCACATAGCATATTGGATAATTTATCAATTACCGAAAGGAATTTGATTGGATTATACTAAGTAATTGCGTTACATAGTGTAGTGTTGTCATTATTTTAAAAATAGTTTCCGACGAGCTTAACATTTATAACTTGGCACTTTTGAATTTTGGATCAACTATCCAGAACAGTGATGTTGTTAATCTTATATATATATATATATATATATATATATATATATATATATATATATATATATATATATATATATATATATATATATATATATATATATATATATATATATATATATATATATATATATATACGCTATCTCAAAAAAATTGATATTAAAAAAAAACCAAACTTGTTAGGTCGGTTAAATATATCTGATTTAAGAAAAGAAGTTCTTAAGTCGGGTACAAATTGGATAAGGGCTTTCTAAAAACCTAGACTTATTAAGTCGGACGTAGTTAAACCGACCTAATAAAATTTTCTTAAGTCAGGTCCAAATCCGACTTAAGAAGTCAAAACTTCTTATGTCGACAATTCTTAGGTCAGTTTCGGACCCGACTTAAAAAGTCATTTTCAACCGACTTAACAAGCCTTTTTTCCACTAGTGTCTTAATCACTTTCATCATAACAACTGTCAGTTGCTACAATGCATAACTTCTAGCACTCCATTCTGAACTTACTTCTCAGGAAATAATAATTAGTCTCAATATACTTGCTTCTCCCATGCAACATTAAGTTCTTAACAAGATTAATTGCAGAATTGTTATCAATCTTCAGCTTCAGAGGCTTGTTTACCTTGATCTTCAGATCCTGCGGTAAATTCAGAAGTCAAATAGCTTGACATGCACCCACAACACCTACAATTTATTTAGATTCACCTGTTGAAAAAATAACAACTGATTTCTTCTTGGAACACCAAGAAATATGACCTCCCATATACTTAAACAAATATCCAGAAGTACTTCTTCTGTCAACTCTGTCTCCACACCAATCAGACTCTGAATTAGCCTTTTTAACTAGAAGGGAACTGTTAGACGATAAGACTTCGATCTAGATGGGGTGAATAGATCATAAATTAAAAATTAAAATTTTGTCAAAAATGATTTTTAAAAGTTTTATGGCATGGTGTAAACAACCTGAATCGAATCGTCTAACCGAACCTCTATCGAAAATCACAGGTATGTGTAAAGGTACACAAATGTATGGTAATCAACATAAATTGTTCAACAACGACCAATCACAAACAATTAAGTGCTAAGCTATACGTAGAGCTTAGTTCCAATGATAAAAAACAAACAAAAACACAAAAAAAAAAACAATTTATCAAACACCTTGTGTGCAAAGGATATCGTTTGAAAATTTGTTGTTTTGTTGATCTTAAAACCAATCACAATCAAAAGGATTATGACTATATCAACAAACATAATTTCAAAATGTGATAAAAAAAATTAATCTCCAAACAAATTGATCAAAAAAACATTGAAATCAATCATTTGCAAACACAAAATTTAAGAGAGAGAGAGAGAGAGAGAGAGAGAGAGAGAGAGAGAGAGAGAGAGAGAGAGAGATCTATTTAGGAAGTTCCCCAATCGGTCTCGCTATGGGTACGTATACCCTCAATTTGAATTCGAATTAAGATACTTGCAACTAACCTTAGTTTGTAAAAAGTGTATATACAAGAGATGAAGAACTCTAACTATACAAACCATATGGTTTGTTGATTCTACAAACTCCAAAACCCTTGATCAAAGATTGATCAAGTCACCAACAATGCTAATTCAATTCACCTGTTCTTGCTACTTCCTTGCAAGGAACCACTTGTCCCAAGGTTTTCACCCGACTGAATTATTTCCAAGCACAACCAGTTGAAACCCAAGATTTACCAAGATGATACACCATCTCACGCTACTCCAGTACAAGGCACCCCTTGTCCCAAGGCTTTCACTCGATCAGATCCGAATTGTTTAATCTTGTCCAAAACCTTCAAATCCTCAATGATCTTGAAGGAAAACCTCACTTTGGTTTTCTTATTTGAAACCATCAAAGAACTCAACCCAATATTCTCAGTACATCAACCTAATTAGATGCTATCAATTCTAATCTAGATGGTCACCCAATTAAAAAATTATTATGTGTAGTTTGATTGTGCGTATGCATAAAAGAGAGGTTGAAGATGATGAGTATGCTTTAAAATCTTGGTTTCGTGTAGGTTTTACTCTAGAACCTTACTAGAAATGATGCATGTATCAAGTATTTATAAGTATGCAATTTTGGAAGTAAAAGAAATGCAAAAGAATAATGAAAATTATGATTTTTGAAAAAATGCATCGCATGTGTCGACCTATGAAAGTAATAAGTCGACCTATCAAGGTCATTGTGTCGACCTGTGAAGGTCTTAGGCTGAACTATGAAGGTCTTGTGTCGACCTATATTAATCAGCTCATAGACAAAACCTACAGACTTTAATATCGAGGCATGGGTGTCGACCTAAGTATTTTATGTGTCGACCTATGCTGAATTGAAATCTTTTATAGGTCAACCTAAAGTCGTATGTGTCGACCTATGTTGTAGTGCTTTCACAAAAAAAAAATTTAATTCATTTATGATGTATGAACATTTTCCAAAACATTTTGATGCTTCCCAATACTAAGATGCACATATAGAATCAGAGGATATCGTCCAATATACATTAACGTTAAATTATCCTAGTTTAAACATCAATCAAAATACATCTAACGCAAAGTTGCACTCACATACTCCCCATTTTTCATGATAGAAAAAACTTGAGACGATGTGTTTCGCGACGTTTTGTGTCTTCATGAAGACTCCCCCTGAATACATACATCCAACTTTATCTTGTATACTTCTCCCCCTTTGACAACATCACAAAGAGGCAAAGCAAACCATGAGAGGTATCTTATATCACATACAAACTAATATACCATACACAGGCATTTTGCAAAGATAAGAATATCAACATGATAGCACTCACATAGAATGATTTTCGTATTGAAAAAGAATGCCTAAAGATAAATACAAGCATCTTAAGCAACAATAGAACATAATTTATTACACTTCACACCAAATAACATAACATAAACATGAAACATGAAGGATACAATATTAATAAAAACTCTTAAGTTTGCTACAAAAGCGATACGATTACGTGACATATGCCTTTGGTACTTCCGAAGTGCTGCACACGCATGTGCTCTAGCAAGGTGATATACGAATTTATCACCACTCAAACCAAAAACAAATATGTTATCATAACAATGACACACAACAAGAATTTTCCCAACATTATAACATGTTCAACCATATTTCATGCAAGAATACATAAGAAGTCAAGTGCACCAAGAGTATATTTCAAGCATATAGATGGAATAGCACAAAAAATTACTATAAGTAGATAATTGACATATATGAATATAAATTTTTGGAAGTGAATATTTATGAACTATTTCATACATCAAGACTATCAACCATTTGGAACGTATGCAACATGCAACAATAAAAAAATTATAAAAGAAAAGAAAAATAGAACCATATTAGCTCGCTTATGAGTTGATGAATGATGCACTCTTAAGTAATAGAACTTCCAAGAAAAGTTAGAGCAAGAGTATCTAAAGTGCATGCAACAATTCATATATAGGCAAGATTTGAGATATCAAGTATCCCCAATTCCCTTCGAATGTTGAAGAATGGCTCGTCGCAAGAGGTTTTGTAAAAATATCTGCAAGTTGATTTTTACTATCAACATGCTTAAATACGACGTCCCCTTTTTCAACATAGTCACATAAAATGTGGTGACGAATCTCAATATGCCTAGTGCGAGAATGTAATAGTGGATTTTTGTTTAGATTAATAGCACTAGTGTTGCCGCACATAATAAGAATACGTTGTAGTTTTATATCAAAATAAAGTATTTATTATTTAAGCCACAAGATTTAAGCACAATAACTACCGGCCATTACGTATTTTGCCTCGGCGGTTGGCAAAGCAACAAAAACTTGTTTCTTGCTATGCCAGCTGTTGCACCCCAAAATTTGCCCTCACAATACAAGACTTTGTGTTCCAAGAAGGTTCACAAGGTTCACAAAATTCACAATTGGTCAGAAGAGTTGACAATTCCCTCAGACAATGCACCTCCTAAGCAGTGCATCCAAAACTAGGGTTTTGACTTTAATCAGGCTAAATGGACTTCCAAGACTTCAAGTGAGCTTCATAACATCTTATATGTGTATAAGAACCCCCATGTCAAGTTTCAAGACTTTTCTCAAAAGTTTGCTCAGTCAGATGATCAGATAAGTCAAAAGCAGTAAATGCAGTTAAAAGGTCAAACTGAGGTCAACTGTGGTCAAACCAAAGTCAAACTTCATGATTTTTTTTTTTGCCAACATCAAAGAGAGATTGAAAAAAACCTAAGAGGAGTGAGTGCCGTTTGCCGTTATTTAGTTTTCTTCTTCATCCATTACTATTGTTTCTTTTTCTTCATCGT